TGTTATTAGTTTAAGTATTTGCTATTGACTGTTCAAATGCGGAGTTTTGCGCATCGTGTGTGTGTGTGAGAGCGCAAGAGAGAGAGAGAGCGAAAGAGAGAGAGAGAGAGAGAAAGAGAGCGCGAGAGAGAGAGCGAGAGAGAGAGAGAGAGAGAGCGCGAGAGAGAGAGCACGAGAGAGCGCGAGAGAGCGAGAGAGAGAGAGCGAGAGAGAGCGACTTTAATAAAATACTTGAGTACATGGGATTGAACTTGCATTAAAATGGTTCAAAAACAGATTCTCCTATTAGTTTAAGACATCAGACTGATCAGGTGACAACCACACTTACCCAGATTTGCAGTTTGATTCTTTTGTTGTTCCGAAAAACAGTTTTGACCTTAAAGTCGATCCCCACCGTGCTGACGAAGGCTGAAGTGAAGGAATCGTCCGCATAGCGAAACAGGAAGCTGGTTTTACCGACGCTGCTGTTGCCGATGATGAGGATTTTAAACATGTAGTCGAAGTTTTGGTCAGCCGCGTCTTTCTGTGACGGCTGGAGATGCGAGTCAGTCACTGATGCCATCTGAAAGAGACAAAAAGTGTGCTTTAGATTTCATTTCAAAATGAATACAAAAATCACTTGGTAAGATTGAGAAATCAATTCAATTCTGCTTATCATATGACCTCAAATTTTATTTAGATACATTTAAATACATAAAAGTATCTGAAATATTACTGAACTATCTCCAAATAAATTTGGCTTCTCATTTAAAGTCAACATGAAAACAAAACTTAACACAAACAAACAAAAAAAACAGTCCCATACAAGATTTTCTCATCAAATATCCTGTTTCACTCTGAAACACGTCACAAGTAAAACGGAAGTAAAATAGGTTTGCGAACGCCGTTTCATGTTGACTTCAAACACATCACCTGTTCTGGTCTGAAAACACATACTGTATCGGATTACCCTCAGAGCACAAGCTTCAGTCCACCGACACGAGAGCTCAAACTAACAGGCAAACTCTTGGGAATGGAAATAAAACCCCTCCACTGTCCAGCCGATCAATCAGACCCTCACGGGCCTGATGGAGAGGGTCTCCATGGTGACGGGCCCACCAACAAAGCGCGCAGACCCATTAAAAGGCGAGCGGTGCGCTCCAAACACCACTCCTCCCCAGAGGTGGAGATGTTACAACAAAGAGAGTGACTGCCCACAGCAGATATTGTCTCGAGGACACGAGAGCACTTGTTAGGTAGTATATTTTTGAACTCAACTGCGATAGTAATTTAGAACGGCAAGTCTGTGAGTTGGAGCAGTTGGTCTCTCGCTCACTTGGTGAAAAATGATTCTGATGATCATGTGCTCACTGCTTTGAGAAGTCTGTAACTGGTGGTTAATCGTAACGGTCAGGTTTACAGTGTAGGGTAGGGTTGCAAAATCATTGGGTAAGACAACAAGAAACACTTTAGAGGTTTTGAAACGTCTTCCTATTTTAAGAGGAAAATTGCTCAAATAAAAACAAGCACAGAATGTGTTTAAGGGACTGTTTACTCATAGTTTCTTTTTTTTTTTTTTAAGAAATTAATATTTTTATTCAACAAGGATGCATTAAATCAATCAAAAGTGAGAGTAATGACATTTATAATGTTACAAAAGATTTCTATTTCAAATAAATGCTGTTCTTTTGAACTTTGTATTCATCAAAGAATGCTGAAAAAATGTATCACAGTTTCCACAAAAATATTAAGCAGCACGACTGTTTTCATAATGATAAGGAGCAAATCTGCTTATTAGAATGATTTCTGAAGGATCATGTGACACTGAAGACTGGAGTAATGATGCTGAAAATTCAGCTCTGATCATGAATAAATGACATTTTACAATATATTCACACAGAAAACAGTTATTTTAAATTGTAATAATATTTCATAATATTGCTGTTTTACTGTATTTTCCATTAAATAAATGCAGCCTTAGTGAGCAGAAGAGACTAAATCATTAAAAATTCTTACCGAACTCAAACTTTTGAATTGTCGTGTACAGTGAAAGTGAATGTAGTCTATATGACTAAACCAACATCAATCAACATATTTCTTGTGAACTATCACTTTAAGTAATTTTGCAAACAATGATTAAATGTCAAAAATCACAAAACTCAGAATCACCTTTTCTTCACAATTATATACATTTATAGTTATATGCAAAAACTACATGCATACGTTTCCATTAAACAATGTTTTCACTTGCTGTTATTGCCTTGTTGTTCAAATGAAACATTAAAATTGAGTAAAACTGTACTTTCTAAGGTCTTATATTCTCAAAGTATCTTAAACTGAAAAGTCTTGTCACATGTTGAGCATGTGCACCGGCTGCATGAGGCCTTTCAATACTAAAACTGAAGCCAGAGATGTCAATGAAAGTGGATTTTATTCCATGATCTTCAACAACAAGACACCCCAAATCTCTCAAGCTACTTTGTTACCGCTTCATTACATATCATTTCTGCAGTTCAGATGCGTGTCTGGATGAAACCCTAAAACAACACCATAAAACAGACCTGATCTATGCTCACCATTCATTTCACAGCTCAATATAACGGTTTTATACCAAACGGCACTCAGCACAGCTCTTTGTCCATTAGTAAGCACACCGAATCCCATCCCACTTGTCCCATGAGAGACACAAATCAATAATGCTATGGGCTGTATGGAACCCCTTCCCCCCATTAACATTACTTTAATCTGCATAGAATCAGAGCTTAATATTTCACACTAATAATACAGACCTACTAAAATATTAACTTCATATGCCATCACCTTCAACTATGCAAGAAGCTTTTAAAGGGGTCATATGATGCGATTTCAATTTTTCCTTTCTCTGTTTTGATGACAATTGTGAATAATACCAAGTTACCACCATTTTATTTGCTATAAACTATGGTCACCATGGTACAATTTTAAGAAAAATTACATTTTATCCCAGTTCAAACTGGATGCTTTTGATTTTTCTCAGTTGCAATGCAGGCTTCTTTCTTCAGTTTCAATAAGACTTTCTGATAAACAGTAAACACTGTATATTATGCATGACATGTGATATAATCATAATCAATGATATTAAAATAACACAGTTCTGTTTTAAACCTTATGGGAATATCTTGCCTCATAGACTTCCATTGTAAGTGCTTCACTTTTTTTTTTTTTTTGGTCTATATCACAGTTGCAACACTGTAAAGAGCAGATTTGTTGAATATCAGATCTACACCCCGCAGGACCAAAATTCACCTCAGCTGGTTTGAATGTCCTTCTCGGACATGCTATAAATCAGTGATCTGTGACACTGACTTCATCACTTACACCAGAGGGCCCAACAGTGCTTTGAGGGACAGGGTCTCTGGTTACCATGATACTGATCGTCTGGCAGATGTGCACAGCTGTGATCCAGTTAAATGGAATTAAACAGGACACAGTTTGCTTTTATTCACTGCAGACTGATTCAAAGGTGACAATCACACAACTGCATTTCTTAAAATCTAATGAATGTAACTAAATAACCAGTTGTTGTTTAATCCATGCATGCAGGAGGTTTACATAAATACGTAACATAAGAACTTTTTTCCTAGCAAAAAAAGTACCATGGTACAGAATCGTATAATACTTTGATATGTACCTAGAAAGGTATTTACATGGCATTCAAAAGAAGAGACCCGTGGAAGAATGTGGTAGTGTCATTGTTTATGTACACAGCTGTTCAGTTCTCAACCTAAATCTGGACTGAATTCGAATCTTCACTCTCTGGCGTTCTAAACTATTTTAAAGAACAACAACGACATAATCACGATGGCATGATGAACAAAATGTTAACAGTTCATGTGCTGCATGACCCAAAGTTCATAAAGCTGTTCCCATTCGGAGACAGAGAAAGGTGCATGAGGGTCAAAATGACTCTCAAACGCAAAGACTCAATTAAAGGAGGTTCTTACCTTCACACGGATACTCGGCGGTTTATCTCGTGCTCCGGGACCGGTGTAGTGCCGAAATTTGCACCCTGCCAGATTATGCACCCCCTAGTATTGGTAGGTTTAGGAGTAGGTGTG